ATTGAATACGAGATCTTGCAAAAAAAAGAGCTTGTAAATCGCAAGTAAAATCATTTTTTGTAAATATCTCGGAATATTGTGCCAATTTAAGAACCCTTCGGAAGGTGTTTTTACCTTAATTTGCTTTCAACAATGTCAGTACTTTACTTTAATCAAACAACAAGAACTTATCCCATCGTAGCTTCTTATTGTCGGCCGCGTATTTTATTATAACAAAAGAGAGAAACAAAGGCGTGGATTTACTTTTTATGAACTTTTATATTGTACGGGAAGACAAAGATTGCTTTGTAAGCATATTCTATTATAAATGCATGTGTGTGTACCGTGTAGTGATCTAGTGGAGATGAAGGATATCCACTACTCCATATCATACCGTGTTTGTCGTAAGAGATGATGAAGGAAAATAAACCAGGAGATAAGCAGCAACATCTTACTAAGAACAACTAGAAAATTAAAATAAAAATATGCTCCTCATGATGTCATCTATGGAAACGGCCTATGTTCAGTCGTGGACTTTGATAGGCTGAAAGAAAATGCATGTGGAGCGCCGTTTATTCGTTTTTAGCTTTAAAAGAAGAGGTTTTCAAATCGACTGTATGTATGTTACGCGATATTATCTGCGCCAATTGTAGACCGTATATAATAAAATCTTTCTTTTATTTAATAGCCTAATCGTGGCACCTATGTCAAATATTCCGATCAAGAGGCAACCTTAGGGGTGGGTCATAATCAACTGTGGACTTTGATACACTCTAATGAATGATAAATGGTGAAATAGGCTACCTCAAGGGCGACCACATATCAATTTAATGAAAACAGTAAGAGTGAAAAAAATTGACGATGAAATGTTCATTGCAGTTACAAATAAATATTTTAACTGTTTACATGATAATCTAGTTATGGATACACCCCGTCCCTCTGTTTTAGACTAAAATATTAAAATATACAATATTGTATTATTTAGACTAAGCAATAAAACTAATGCATCAGCATTTCGTAAGTTCCTAGTACTTAGTTGATGAGTCGAATGTCTGCGCACAAACGGACTCTTTGAATATCGTTCATTATTAAAGCCACCTTCAAATCGGTCGGACATAGTAATCTAATTGTATTTTAGTTTTTAACACGTTCATTGCCAAGCCAAAATGCTGAACTTACATAGATGGCCAAATTAAAAAAAATCATTGGATGTGGTTTTTATTGTGCCAGTAATGCTTTTATATAAGGAATCTACCATTATATAATATATAAGTTCATAAATATATGTGTATATTTTTATCACGCGAAGACGTGTGATCGGCCATACGGGACGCATTTATTATATACATATTGCCCACATGGCCGGTAACGCGAATTCGCGTGATTTGTATTTACATGGCAAAATAGGCTTTTATTAGTAAAAAAACATTCAATATGCATTTTGTAATAAACTTTTATTAGAGATCAAAAATCACTTCTTTTTAAATAAAACTAATTTTACGGATTTTATCGCGTATATTAACTTATTTTTAACTTATTTTTATATTCCCGACGTTTCGGGTGCTTTCCAGCACCCGTGGTCACGGGGGACTGAGTTGTTTGACGTCCTACTGTCATAGTTAGCCCGGCTACCTTCAGTTTTTTAATATTAATTTTCGGTTCGATTTACGCAGAATGAGCTTACAGTATCTTGAAGTCTAGCAGTGGTATACTTGGGTTTGGATTTGATTTTATTAATTATGGGATCCCAAGCAGATGGCAGCACCCATCCATCTTCTCTATTGAAATTAGGATGTTTTTTAATTTCAATAGCCTCGCGAATCATCCTTGGGAGGAATCGGTGTTCTTTTGCGAGGATTTGTGGTCTATCAAATCTAATGTAATGATGGGGACGATCCTGAACATGTTCACAAACTGCAGACTTCCCGATACGTCGGTGCTTCACGTCAGCTATATGTTCTTTAACGCGGGTTTTAATAGATCTTTTTGTTTGTCCTATGTACGAGAGACCACATTCACAATCCAGCTTGTACACTCCTGCATCTTGTAGAGGGATATGACACTTGACGGATGGTAAAAATTGACCAATCTTCTTCAGCGGCTTGAAGTACGTTTTAATGGAAGCTCGCTTCAAGATGTAGCCAACCTTGTCTGTGACTCCTCTGACATAGGGTAGTACAGCAGGCACACGCTCGACTGTGGCTGGCTTCACTCGGTCACTGTGACGTAGGCGCGGGACCCGAAGCTTGTTGTCTTGCAGTACTTGCTCGACGTGCTGAAGCTCGGCGGCCAGATGTTTTCTGTCACAGATCCCTCGTGCTCTCTGAAACAAAGATTTTCCCACGGTAGCTAACTGTGAAGGATGATGGTGAGATTCACCATTTAAATATCGGTTGGTATGGGTATTTTTTCTGTACACAGTATGACCAATAGTGTTATCAGGATTTCGGATGACTAAAACATCTAGAAAAGCTAAAGTATTGTTTGCCTCTAACTCCATTGTGAATTGTATTTTAGGGTTTATGGAATTAAGGTGGTTTAAAAATGCAGTTACTTTGTCAGATGGTAAAATTGTGAAAGTATCGTCTACGTACCGCTTGTAGAATCTTGGATTTACAGGAGCAGTAAGAAGGGCTTTCTCCTCAAAGTCCTCCATGAATATGTCGGCGACTACGGGAGATACAGGTGAGCCCATTGCCACTCCATCTACTTGCATGTAGAACTCTTCTTTCCACAATAAATAGCCAGATGTGAGGCAGTGTTTGAGTAATACTGCATATTCTGTAGGCATGTTGTTATCTTCTAGCTTTCTAGTAACAATTGAGATGCAGTCTTCAATAGGTAGGCATGTGAATAGTGACTGAACATCAAAACTGACCATAGTTTCATTGTCAGCGAGATGTAGGTCTTTAATCTCACTAACAAATTGGTATGAATCCTTTGTGTGTGCTCTGGTATGTCCTCTTAGTGGTGACAGTATTTTCGCCAAGTGTTGAGCCAACTTATAAGTTGGTGAATCGATCTGGCTTACTATAGGACGTAGTGGAGCGTTTGGTTTGTGTATTTTCGGTAACCCATACAACCTCGGTGGTTTGGCACATGATGGTATTGTCGAATTCACGTCAAGATTTAATTTTTCGGAGTATTTTAAAGAAATACTCCGAAAAATTAAAAAAAGAAAAATTAAAAAAAAAAAAAAAAAAAAAAAAAAATTAAAAAAAAATTGAAAAATTAAATCTTGACGTGAATTCGACAATACCATCATGTGCCAAACCACCGAGGTTGTATGGGTTACCGAAAATACACAAACCAAACGCTCCACTACGTCCTATAGTAAGCCAGATCGATTCACCAACTTATAAGTTGGCTCAACACTTGGCGAAAATACTGTCACCACTAAGAGGACATACCAGAGCACACACAAATGATTCATACCAATTTGTTAGTGAGATTAAAGACCTACATCTCGCTGACAATGAAACTATGGTCAGTTTTGATGTTCAGTCACTATTCACATGCCTACCTATTGAAGACTGCATCTCAATTGTTACTAGAAAGCTAGAAGATAACAACATGCCTACAGAATATGCAGTATTACTCAAACACTGCCTCACATCTGGCTATTTATTGTGGAAAGAAGAGTTCTACATGCAAGTAGATGGAGTGGCAATGGGCTCACCTGTATCTCCCGTAGTCGCCGACATATTCATGGAGGACTTTGAGGAGAAAGCCCTTCTTACTGCTCCTGTAAATCCAAGATTCTACAAGCGGTACGTAGACGATACTTTCACAATTTTACCATCTGACAAAGTAACTGCATTTTTAAACCACCTTAATTCCATAAACCCTAAAATACAATTCACAATGGAGTTAGAGGCAAACAATACTTTAGCTTTTCTAGATGTTTTAGTCATCCGAAATCCTGATAACACTATTGGTCATACTGTGTACAGAAAAAATACCCATACCAACCGATATTTAAATGGTGAATCTCACCATCATCCTTCACAGTTAGCTACCGTGGGAAAATCTTTGTTTCAGAGAGCACGAGGGATCTGTGACAGAAAACATCTGGCCGCCGAGCTTCAGCACGTCGAGCAAATACTGCAAGACAACAAGCTTCGGGTCCCGCGCCTACGTCACAGTGACCGAGTGAAGCCAGCCACAGTCGAGCGTGTGCCTGCTGTACTACCCTATGTCAGAGGAGTCACAGACAAGGTTGGCTACATCTTGAAGCGAGCTTCCATTAAAACGTACTTCAAGCCGCTGAAGAAGATTGGTCAATTTTTACCATCCGTCAAGTGTCATATCCCTCTACAAGATGCAGGAGTGTACAAGCTGGATTGTGAATGTGGTCTCTCGTACATAGGACAAACAAAAAGATCTATTAAAACCCGCGTTAAAGAACATATAGCTGACGTGAAGCACCGACGTATCGGGAAGTCTGCAGTTTGTGAACATGTTCAGGATCGTCCCCATCATTACATTAGATTTGATAGACCACAAATCCTCGCAAAAGAACACCGATTCCTCCCAAGGATGATTCGCGAGGCTATTGAAATTAAAAAACATCCTAATTTCAATAGAGAAGATGGATGGGTGCTGCCATCTGCTTGGGATCCCATAATTAATAAAATCAAATCCAAACCCAAGTATACCACTGCTAGACTTCAAGATACTGTAAGCTCATTCTGCGTAAATCGAACCGAAAATTAATATTAAAAAACTGAAGGTAGCCGGGCTAACTATGACAGTAGGACGTCAAACAACTCAGTCCCCCGTGACCACGGGTGCTGGAAAGCACCCGAAACGTCGGGAATATAAAAATAAGTTAAAAATAAGTTAATATACGCGATAAAATCCGTAAAATTAGTTTTATTTAAAAATGTGTAGTGTTCGCGTAAATATAAGAAATCATTAAAAATCACTTCTTATAATAATGTAGAAACATGTAACTTTTAGGTAACAATGAACTTATAGATAGACTAAGAAAAACAAATATTACACTTTGGTAGGTGTTTTTACTTATTAGAAAAACCAGCAAACTTGTGCAGGTCAAAAAAACAATCAATACAAAACGGGGGGGTATTAGGGCATTGCTTACATTCCATAGTAGTATTTACCCTTTTTTTATTCGAATAATAATTTCGACAATCCTTTCTAGCTGTTACAGTAGCTTTTCTACCAGTACTGAAAAAACGCTCTTTAGATTTCTCTATTTTAGTCAATCTGTGGTTTTTAGATTGCTGCGACGCCTGCGACACTTGTGGCTCAATTTGACGTTCAGGCAAAAATGACTCAATTACTTTTTCTCTAAAATCATATAACGATAAGCTAGGCTTGCCTGAGAATTTGTTGTAGAGTTGTCGAGCATTTGTCATGCTCATCATTATACCATGTATGAAAATTTTCACATACCACCTTAGAGTTTTTCTTTCACAGGGGTAATAGCTGAGCATTTGATCTTGTAGATCTACGCCTGACATGTTTTGATTATATTGTAGGACAGCTAATGGTTTTAATACAACAATGCCGCATTTGTTGGTAATTTCCTGCATTTGATCCGCGAATTGCGATGAGATATAATTTAGTTCTCTTTTGTCCTTCCATTTTCCTATATGAACACCGTTACGATAGCGTGAAATATTTTCACCTTTTTTTAGTTTTTTGGAAATCACTTCTGATGGATTATCTTTGCGTTTCTTGTTCAATGTGCCAGTGCAGTAGGTATTCCTGTCCAATAATTTGGTAGCTAAGCTATAGCTGTTATAGAAATTGTCCATAAAGACAGCGTGGCCGGAATCTAAATTATTTTGCAATAACTTTTCTACAATTTTTTCTGTGTGTCCTGGGCCAGAAGTTTCATCCATTGTACTGGCAAAAACATGAACTCTTATAATAGTTCCATTTGGTTCTGACAATATATAAAGTTTTATTCCGTATTTGTGTCTTTTTCCTTTTATGTATTGCCGAAATATCAGGCGGCCACGAAATAAAACCATAGATTCGTCCAAAGACAAATTTCTACCGGGATAATAAATCCTGTCCATTGTTTCATTGAAGGTATTTATTATCATTTTGCATTTATTCATGCGGGCAGGATCGTCACCTTCTTCAACAAAATGTAGGCATCGCAAAATAAGTTGGAACCTGTTTCTCGACATGTAATCAGAGAAAACTGACTTATACAATCGATGCGATTTCCAGTAATCAACCAAGCGGTTCATTTTCGCTGTGCCAGTGTGATAAAGTAAACCAATAAATATTCTCAATTCTTCTATAGTTAGTGGTTTCCAATTCGTAATACGAGACCTGCGAAACTGCGTAGAATTCCTTATGTTATCTGCATTTCTATTACTGGAATCGACGATTTTTTGTAGATAGTCATCAGTAAGAAATAAATCAACATACCCTCTAGGACTGTCTGGCGGTGGCACAAGCAGTTCATTTGTCTTCGTGAAAGAAATATCTCTCATCGAACTAGAATTGGTAGTCCAACGTGTCGTAGATGCTGTTCTGGATGGCTGCTGAAGGTCAGTCGGTGGCGACGATGGAGTCTGATCACTAGAGGCATCGAAACGTTGTTCAGGCACAGCCTCCACGTTTTCCTCCTCCTCCTCGTCTCCTGCAGATTCTGAACTTGCATCACCTTCGTCGGCTATGTAGTCTAAATCATCTACATCACTCCCTGCATAAACATCTTCGTCTGAGTCCCGTAAAAATTCTTCCACTTCCGAACTATTTAGTCGTTTTCTTCTTGCAACTCGCGATGTACTAGGCTCTGATGACCTTTTTGTCGGTTTCGGATTATTACTCATTATAAATACAAAGTTTTGATGTAAACAAAACGAAAACAGCCGAGAAAAAACAAAAACACTCCTACCCCACGTGGCTGCACAGAGCAAACTAGTGCGCGGCTAGCTGCACGCGAAACAAAAAATTCAACATGGCTAACCGCAGGCCAAGCCCACAAATAGATAGGTAATTTCCTTCCCTAGTGGCCAAAACAAATACCAGAATCCAATACGCTGCGGCCGCTATTTTGTGGCTCTTATACAATTGTAAGGAACCATCGCGCGACGTCGCGTGATCAGCCACAGCGTAATAGGCCGCTTCACGCGACGTCGCGTGACGTGGCAATGAACGTGTTAAAAACTCCTTTCGACGTTCATGAAATTTGACTAGCGCAGCCGGTAGGATTTGTTCGTGAAGGCTGTACCGTCTCTCGAAATATTCAGATGTCCAAATTCGCCTGAGTTCGTGATAGCGGCGCAAATAGCTGTTGGGCAAATCCAAGAACCAAAGAAATTTGTTATCGAGTGAAGCTGAAGACATGGGAATAGCGGCTGGTTGGTGAGTAAAACATTTCATCATCCTTGATACCACTATTATCCGTCATTTTTATTTAAATTTGTTATTATTGAGATTGGACTTCTCTCATTGTAACTTATCTGGTTTTTCAATTAAATATATTTAGTAGTAGACACTCTACTAGTGTAGGCGTAACATAACAGTGATAAGAATAAGGGACACAGAGTGCCTTTTCGCACAGAGATTATTAAACGTTTTAAAAATAAGACTATTTATAAATTAATAAATTAAATGTAATTAAAGCTTTACTTGATAATTAAAGAATACATGTTTTATTAATGCTAGAGATATAATACAGTTTTGTTTCAATTATTTAATTCTTCATTACATTTACATTTTTTACATATTTTATACATTAAATTAACTTTTATTTTATAAATTATATTTTTATATGCTTTCGTGTGTTCTACCTTATATTTTGTGTTATTGCATAAAATAGCGCTCTATATTAACTGACTCGTCTGACCCGTGCATTACTCTATAACGATGGAACAACCAATGGCAGCAGAACGACAGACCGTTGTAATTAATCCCATTCCTACAGAAATTCTACGGCTTATTCCACTTTTTAATGGCGACAAAAGACAGTTAAATTTGTTTTTGAGGAAATGTGAATATGTCATTCGTAGGTATAGGGGTGACGAAGAACAAAATTTTTACGTTTATCATTCTATAACTAATAGGCTTACAGATAACGCGGCGTCACTCTTATCGGAACGGGAGGATGTCGTGTCGTGGTCCCAGTTGAAAGATTTGCTAACGCAACATTTCGGAGACCCCCGTAGCGAAGAGTGTATTAGTATTGAATTAGAATCTTTAAAGATTAAATCTGGTGAAAACTTTAAAGATTTTTGTAACAGCATTCAAAGTATTCGATCATTATTAATTTCGAAAGTAAACATATCGGATGATAGTAATCTTAAAACCGCTAAATTGGCAATTTACAATAATACAGCTTTAAACGTATTCCTATACAATCTTCCCGAGAATATGGTTCGGATAGTGAGGTTAAAGAGGCCAGCGACTTTAGGAGTCGCGCTGAGCATTGTACTAGAGTAAGTCAACTTCCACGATCAATACAATATGCGTAATCGTGTTCACGGTAGTAGCGGTTTAGCTTTAAGGCAGCCTCAAACATCAGTTCCAACACAAGAATTTAAATTTGGCAGTATGCCCCACACGGTAATGCAACCATGCAGATACAAACCCGTGTTTCCAAATAACATTACACCAAAATTTAATTTCGGCATTCAAAATCAAAGCCAATTTAGGATGCCCCAATCTGGCTTTCGTCCTCAACCAATGCAACAGATAGGTTACCTTCCACCTAAATTTGGTTATCGGCCACAACTTGGCCAGCAACCACAACAGTTCGGCTATCGTCCACAACTCGACCCTCAGCCACAACAGTTCTGTTACCGTCCACAACTGGGCTTCAGCCAAAACATTTTGGTCAAAGACCTCAACAGCAATTTGGCCATATGCCAACTACACAATTTGGTAATAAACCACAAACTCAGAAACCCAATTTTCAAGAGACTGACGTTTTCATGAGGACAGCTCCTCCTAGGCCACAGCCCGGCTTTAGATTAAATGAGTTGACCTTAAGAGAAAATGACGGACAGTATTATGACTAGTATTACGACACAGACGAGTATGTAGAGCAATATGACAATGAATTGACACCATCCGCGGAGGAAACTGTTAACGAAATAACTTACGACGAGCTAACAGACGGAACTCAACCTCAAACTCTTGAAAATTTTCACATGAAAGCCACCATTGGAGACAAGAAGTCATAGAACTAAATTGTGATCCGAATCTCAAGTTATCCTATATTCATATCTCCGAAATAAATGCAAAATTAATGGTAGATACAGGTAGTACTAGATCTTTTATCAGCCCCCGTAAAGCATACCAACACTTCTATCAATATATAACACATGAACCATTAGAAGTAGTCAGTACCCACGCCTCTAGCAGACACGATGAAGTGATACAAATCCCTCTACCACACACTTTTAAGAGTTCAGATTGTCATAAATTCTATCTATATGACGTCGACTCTCGATATGATGGTCTCATTGATAATGACCTATTGAAACAACTAGATACAATTATATACCTTAAAGACCTTGTACTTAAAACCAAAACAACTTGCATACCAATAGTTAATAATAACTTGAATTATGTTATAACACTACCACCACGATCAGAGCAGCGCGTAAAATTGCCAACAGACCAATGTTCTGGAGAGGCAATCATTAATTATAAGGAATTTGCCAGCAGTGTACGAATGCCTATTGCATTGTTAAATTGCGTTTACAGTTATGCCGTAACCGTCATACAAAACGTTCTTGAAAAATAAATGATATTGACAGTAACACGACCTTTTACAGTTACTAAGTATGATACGACTACTCAATGTGACGTAAACTTTACCAATACCTATAGTAACTTAGAGATCGATAAGATCCTCGAGGAAACCCTACTTAAACTAAGGCTTAATCACACTAACGATGAGGAACGCGACAAAATTTTTAGACTTTGTCAAGAATAAGACATATTTTACTGTGACAAATTACCACTGACTTTCGCTAACGAAATCAAACATAAGATACGCACAATAAATGAAGACCCAATTTATGTCAGACCCTACCGTAAAGCACCAATGCAAGTAGACGAGATAAATAGGCAAGTAGACAAGTTATTGAAGGACAATATTATTCAGGAGTCACATTCGCCATGGAATGCTCCCGTACACCTTGTACCAAAAAAAATGGATGCATCTGGTGAAATTAAATTTCGTATGGTTATAGACTATCGACTTTTGAACGACATAACCATAGACGACAAATACCCACTACCAAACATAACAGTTTTTTTGACAAGTTAGGGAAGAGTTCTTATTTCAGTACAATTGACTTAGCAAGTGGTTATCACCAAATCGAAATAGAAGAACAAGACAGACAAAAAACAGCCTTTAGCACTCAAAACGGCCATTATGAATTTCTTAGGATGGCATTTGGCCTGAAGACAGCTCCTGTAACATTTCAGCGGACCATGGACAGTGTGCTGTGGGGATTACAGGGGATACACTGCATGGTATACTTAGATGATATAATTGTGTTTTCGACAAGTCTGGAAGAACATATACAAAAGTTACGGACGATATTTGACATAATTAGGGCGACTAATCTAAAAGTTCAATTAGAAAAGTCTGAATTTTTAAGGAAAGAGGTTTTATATTTAGGACATACCATTACAAAAGAAGAGCTACGTCCGAACACAGACAAAATCAATGTTGTGCTAAATTTTCCTATACCTAAGACAACAACGGAAATTAAACGTTTCTTAGGGCTGGTAGGGTACTATCGACGCTTAATAAAGGACTTTGCTAAGATTACACAACCTCTAACTGCATGCATTAAAAGGCGAAATAATATTATCATCGATGAAAAATATATTAATGCGTTTGAAAAATGTAAAGAAATACTAACGAGTGTACCCTTATTACAGCACCCGGACTTCGATAAAACCTTTATTTTGACGACTGACGCCTCTAATATAGCTTTAGGAGCAGTTCTATTACAGGGACCTATTGGTAGTGATAAACCTGTTGCATACGCTAGTAGGACGCTTAGTGACACTGAAAGTAGAAGCAGCACCATCGAACGCGAACTTTTAGCTGTTATTTGGGCCATAAAACATTTCCGACCGTACCTTTACGGACAAAAATTTGTAATTTATACTGAACACCGACCCTTAGTTTGGCTTTATTCATTAAAGGAACCAAACAGTAAGCTTACCAGATGGCGATTACGACTACAGGAGTATGATTTTGAAATCATTTATAAAAATGGAAAACAAAATACAAATGCCGATCCAGAAATAAAGTTAATGCTTTAAATGACGAAGGTCATTCGATGGACGTTAATTTCGATAGCAAAGAGTATAAGCTTAGGGAGCATCTGAAAGACGTAGTTAAGGAAATTGAAAAACTAAACACTCAAAATAAAATGCATGATGACACAACGTCCATTGTGACAATATCAGACTCAAGTATTGTTTCCGCGAGTCCTTTGTCTCTTTCCGACACAATATCAATTTGCAGTTCAGAATAGGTTTCCAAATATCCTATTCAATCACCTTCAGAATCTAGTAAGTCCCAAACTGTGCATTCAGCCGTAGAATTAGAGTCAAACGGAATAACAATACTACACGAGGCTATCGATAAAAAGCCAAATCAAATATTAATATTTTCATGGTTTAAAAATGAATATTAGGTTAAAAATATTTCTAGGAAGAAACAAAAAGTATTAGAAGTATTTTAACCATTAGATTATTCTGAATTAATTATAGAATTTTTAAAGAAATATATTAGGCCTAAAATTAAATATTTTATATATTTCGAACGAAACGAACATCAAAGACAATTAAGGAATATTATTGTATACCTTTTCTTAAAGGCCATGGTTCAATTTTATGAATGCACGGAACGAGTAATTTTTATTGAAGATGAAAAAGAACAAAGGGCAATTGTAATTAAGTATCACGAAGGAAAGACATGTCACCGAGGTATTAAAGAGACGCTAGTTAGAATGCGCAGAAATTACTATTGGGATAATTTACAAGAAACTGTTTCGGCAATAATAAATAGTTGCAATGCATGTAAAAAAATGAAATATGACAGAAAGCCAATTAAACCTAATCTTCAATTAACCCAGACTCAAGATACTCCGTTTCAAGAGATATTTATAGACCTGTTTAACATCAAAGGAAAACATTATCTGTCTCTCATAGATGAGTTTAGCAAATTAGGCCAAGCGATAGAAATTGCAAATAGATCCACCCCCGAAGTGGTCCGAGCTTTAATGAAGTACTTTTCTTTTTACGGGATGCCAAAAAAGATAAGTTCAGATCCGGGCTCTGAATTTAACAATAAATTAATTAAAGAATTCTTAAGCTTACATAAAATTGAGCAGCACATTGGAACTCCAAATAGCCCAAACTCGGTGGGGCTAATAGAACGCTTGCACTCGACAATCATAGAAATTTACAGATTGGCAAAATACGAAAGAAAACCTACTGATGCGGCATCAGTTATGACGTATTCCGTACTAGCATATAACAATACTATTCATTCGGTAACAGAACTTACGCCCTTCGAGGTAGTTTTCGGATATACCGACACGGGTAGCCCGTTTAATATAGAATTTGATAAGCAGTATAAGTAAGAGATCATGCAAAGCGAACAAAATTCTTATACAAATATTTAGCAGAAAATATGGTAGCAATTAAAAAAAAAGATTAGGAAAAATCAAGGCGGTGAAGATGAGATGGTATTTTAGTGTGGTAAGACTATATTTGCTAAGGATACAAACAAAAGAAAAAGCAAGGACAAACCGCGATATGTTAAGGCTAAGGTAGTAGGCAAGGTCGAAAGAAATATAGTGCTAATACAAATAGGTGAAAGGAAGACTAAAGCTCCAATTAAAAATATCAAACGCCTTCCACAGGTGGTGCATACTGATGATTGCGAAGCCGATCGTGGCCCATCATCTGCAGTCACTTGAGGAAAACCCAGGGATACTTCCGGTAAAACAAGGACAAGCATATGCCCAAACAGATCACTGGACTATAATAAAGATTTTAAATTTAGACAATATTTATGACGACCCAAATCTAATTATTGCTCAATATCATAACCTTAGTAGACTAATTGAAGTAAAGGAACCATACCCTCGTGAATTATCAGTGTTAAAATCCATGTAGAGTACATACGCGATATTACCGTTCAAAAATTCCAACAACTTATGCCGCAACGCTTTAAGAGAGGGATCTTAAATCCATTAGGTTATGTTCTAAAAATTATTACGGGAAACGACGATCATGAAGATGATCTTAAATATGATAAACTTACTTCAGAATTAAGTCATAATCAAATTATCGTATCAAAGAAACTAACCTTGGTCTCCAAAATGTTAGACAGCTTTATTAATACCACGAAAACCCTAAATAATAATTCCGTTATGCTGGATGCACGCTTGAAAAGTATAGAGACAATGCTAAATCATTTATCGACTAGAGAAAATAACTGGGTTTTCTCGACGTATATTTTTGGATTATTTAATTTATTTATAAGTAATTTTCGAACTAAATTTTATAAATTAAGTGAAATAGTGACTCCTCTAGCTTTCAGTAGAGTAGCGACACTTCATCAATCTATAGTAAATTCTACAGAACTTTTAGATCATTTAAAACTAATATCGAATACCGAAAATTTAGTGTACTCACCAACAAAAACTAATTTGGTAAAACTAGAACAAACCATGTTACGGCCTACGGCTGCTCCCTTAAAGGATCAAATCCTCAGGGGCCCATGAGCTGAAGACTTCCCGAGCAGACGTAGGTCGGGCCTCAATGTGGCCACGTGGAAATTCCTAATTACAATAAACCAGATGGGAGGACGCTAGAAAGACATAGTACTTACCATTATCCGAAGCTAACTTCGCACTAAGGCTTGGGCAGGCCGTGAGTGTGTGTAATAGTGGATGGCGAGTAGTGTACAGTGAGGTGTGAATGTTTGGAGCCTTGTCAAGCATAGGCGACCAGCCGCGGCCGAGTTCCAGGCTGCTCCAAAATGCTGCACCGCTTCAGACTGCTTCGGCGCCGGACCACAATCACTTTCCTCTTTCGTCACGATGACAGTCAATTAACTCTATCGTGCGATTAACTAACTTACAGAAGCCACTAACTATCGCGGGGTATAAGGTTACCGCACAAAACGCACACGGAGCCTCTGGACCAAAGGTCGCTACCGTTTCGCGTTGCAACAGTTAGTTCTAGAATATCAGAGGCCGCACTAGCTAATATTGTCGAATGCACTTATACAGATTCTGAGTCGGACCCAAAAAGTCCCGGGAAGCTCTCCAGCAGGAATGCGCGTCACAAAATCCTAGACCGTATATTTACGGGCCGCACCTAATTATTCCGAGTTCCCTAACAGAATGACAGCGTGCCAATCGTTAGCACTGCCTAAAGACGACTGACTACCCTTGGGCGTTTTACGCACGACCGAATGTCAAACCGGTATGACACTGAGCCGCGCGCCCTCTCGCGTTCGTTCTTGAAATTAGCGTTTAGCGCGAACAAACCATAAGTGTAAAATCTTATCTTAAGAAAAACCAGATAGCATATATAATGGAGATTCCGTTAACTGATAATAATACTTACAATTATTTTAAGGTTTATTCCGTACCTATTTTCCGCGAATCTGTAAACGAAACGATTGCCAACTTCCCAAAATATCCTTACCTCCTGGTGAAAGGGATGAAATATTTACTAGTCACAAAACGGTGTCGTCCCCTTGCTGCTGGTAATGATTTCCTGTGTACCGAAGAAAATAGAGCCCTCTAAGCTGAACTTACCTGCATAGAACAGCTAATGAAATTTGAGAATAATCTTACTTGTTGCACGCAACACACTATTACAATTGAAGACGTTAAGGTGCAGCGAATTAAAACAGAAAATTGGATTGTTTTTACAAAGCTAAAAACGACGCTGACCAAGCACTGCGGTAACGAGATCACCAAACAACCAATTTTTGGAACCTATATACTAACCAGCGATGAGCCCTGTGACCTGGAGATACACGGTACTTATATTCATCACCACCGTGTTTACACGGAATACGAAGCAGCGCCACCAGTTTCAGTCATCAACTTACCTTACTTACGTGCAAATATTAATGTAACAAGTACACGCGTAATTAACATGAATGGTGTCAACTTGGACGAAGTGAAATATATGTCAAATGCACAGTGAAATCTATTATACATGTTTATGTGCTCTCAACGGAGAAAAAGACTCTAACTCCAGTGTTCTAACATATGTAATTTTAAATTTCCTAGCTTTAAGTTTCTAATTGTTCTTTATATACGTGTTAAGAAAAAAATGTATACCTTACATCCAAAATTAACGTAAAAACATCAAAAATGGTATTACCGAAAATTTTGCTCTTAGGGAGGGAGGAGTTATGGATACAACCCGTCCCTCTGTTTTAAACTAAAATAGTAAAATATATAATATTGTATTACTTAGCATAAGCAATAAAACTAATGCATCAGCATTTCTATGTAAGTTCCTGGTACTTAGTATATGAGTCGAATGTCTGCGCACAAACGGACTCTTTGAATATCGTTCATTATTAAAGCCACCTCCAAATCGGTCGGACGTAGTAATCTAATTGTATTTTAGTTTTTAAAAACTCCTTCCGACGTTCACGAAATTTGACAATCTAGTCGTTACCTTGATTCTTTGATATTATTAAGGCCACTCAAAACAGCTAAATAATTAAACCTTTAAAAAATAAACACAGATTTCAAAAAACTAAAAAGGATAAAATAATTTGTATTGTATTATTTGTGTTGTGTTTAATAGATTCTGAATTTGTTTCTAAGATATAGTCTATCTAACAATCAAGGCTCATATATCCACCTATATAACGTCATGTGTCAATATTTCAAAAGATGCATGCCTGGAAGATCTATGGGCAATACACAAATATTTGAATAGTGGGCTAAAATCGGTAGACAACATCATAACATTACAGCCTCCTTCAGAGTAGAGTGATTTAGGATAAGGACGGAATACTTAAGCGCGACCTTGACACAATTGGTGTATAAGTCGATACTTGCCTGTTTAAATATGTCCTATCTAAAATAAAAAAGAATAAATACTTGTTTTTAATTCCTTCATAAATTTAAATTACATTTATTACCATAAAACTAAAATATACATTATTTATTACCATAATAAAGAAAAAACTAAAACTAAAAACTTAAATTATTATACAGTCTACAATTCCGCGGTATAGTGCCAAGAAAGTGACAAATAATATGTCACATTCTTATATCGATGATCAAAGAATATAATTCTTTATTTATTGCACCGAAGTTTTGGAACAAAGTTCCTTACCACACAGTGCGAGTTGGACGGATGGGGGCTAGGCGAGAGAAAGTGTAAGATCTTTCCGTCACGACCCCCTTTCTATAGTGCGAACGAGTTGGAATAATATCCATCTCCCTCGCACTTTTTCTTATCTTGCCTTTAAAGAAATATTATTTTAAATGACGCTTCATATTAATAGACGCTAGTAAATCGTTTAATTGTATTTGTTAATGAATAATATAATACGTTTATCAGTAATAATATACTACGAAAGAAACTTCGTTCCAACCGAGTGTTCCACGACACACACGCATGCTTTTATTTTTATATATTTTTAAATAATAGTTTCCTGTAATTCCCGAAAAAGTTGTTTAAGTTTTAGTACACAGCATATTATAAATTAACACCGAATTTTACCCTCAAATCAAAATAAAGTTTTGATTTTTTGATGTTATTTTTTTTTGTTAATCCGCCATTAAATTGCATACCAATAAGTTGTTGTATACATTCCTCTATTCGTAAAATTCTTCAACATCTCAGAAATCTGGTTGTTTTTCCTCGCTGAATGTCTAAACATAGCCTTTGAACCAAAAAAGAACCAGCCCTCTAAGGAAGTTTGCCGCCACGAACTAATAGTCTCTACAGCAAATGAGACAGATGTGTAGTCTCTCAAAGACTCATACTTGTGCCGGTTAAAAGCCGCATCTGATGACGCCTCGCTCGGTTTTTCTTGTTTATGAGTTACGCCTGATGGTACGCAATTACTCAAATACAGTTTGGTAGATACAAAAAGGAGTAAACCGGCAAATTCTCCTATATTTATTTATTACAACCTGCCCCGGCATCAACTAGGCAGAGTCTATTGTTGCAGCGTTATTTAGATTTAATATAATCAAAGATCATTTGTTTTAACAATATTTTATTTTTTCAAAAATTCAAGTCTTTCAAATTAAATAGAACCTTGATATTTCTGTTTTCTAACTGCTCGTAAAGTTTTATCTCAATCAATTCAGATATTTCTCACATTAGCCCGAACAGACATAAATACGAGTCTTAAAAACATGTATATAACCCCATCAGCTCAATAAAAACCGAATTTTTCAATACAACAGACAGATACTTCAATTTGATTTATATATTATTTATCTTTAGATTTCTAGCAATTTCCATACGAGAATTTTAAGCAAACTATAGTAATGCGTACAGCAAAGAGGTGAATTAATTTGCCGGCGTCTGTCTAACCATCTGAATACAATCTGGGAGTCTCCTAGAGTGGATAGGCTTT